TCTCTCTCTCTCTCTCTCTCTCTCTCTCTCTCTCTCTCTCTCTCTCTCTCTTTTTGTCTCTGTTCTTCTGGCCCTGTTAATAAGTGTTGCAGTAAGCGAGCAAAGCCAACAACTATGAAATTCTGGAAATTTGATATCATTGTTTATATGCTGCTGCCCTTTTGTTGTTTGCTCCCCACTTTTGCTCGGCTGACTGAATGGCTGAATGGCTGACTGAACGACTGCCTGACTGCCGGACTGGCTGGCGGGCTGGCTGGCTGGCTGGGCTAGGGCCAGTCCCAGTGCCAGTGCCACTGCCATGGCCAGGGCTGGGCATTTCTATCTCCACCAAATTTTAGCATTTCAGCCATTTCTCCGTATGAGTTTGGCTTGGTGTTTGCTCAGCCTGTTTGCATCTAGATCTCTGTTTGCTTTACTTGGGTGGATGGTTTCCTTTTTCCCCTAGCAGCCATCATCGATTTTTTTTCCGTTCAGAAATAGACGAAACTAAATTGCTGCTCCTTAAATTATTTGATAAAAATTTAAGATTCATTAAAGTCAAATAAAAACTTAGGAAATTCTAAATGCTTCTAGAATGAAGACAAAAATTTATAATATGTATATCTTTTTTGGGAGTAGCTGGTAATATTAAAATATTGGAAGCAAATTTTAAATTTTATAATAAATTTCTTATAAATACTGGAGTAAATATAGCAAATTATTTATATATTAAACCGTAAAGCTTTTCACTGCTTTCCTAATTCACAATAAATAATTAGATAACTTTTAAGAGATTTTCATGATATAAATCATATTTACTAATTATATGAAAAAAAGAATAAATATAATGGATTCCTTATAGTAACTTCTACCATTATTTTTTCTTAGTGCGCTAAACATATACCTAATATACCCCTTTTGTAGTTTTTAATCAGCACAAATCATACTAAATTTAGGCATGTTTAATGAGAATAAAAACAACTGAAAAGCTGATTACGAAATATCTGAAGATCTAAACAATTCAATGTCTGTAAAATGCCAAATCAAAACAAATGCTATAAATTCTTATACGACTCCAACATGATCCCACAAAGCTAATTGGAATGATCAAATAACACATACACATACATGTATGTTTGTATGTACATATATCTAAACATGTCTCATATTATACAAAGGCCACCCCCAACGCTGGCTGCAAGTGTTTTTCCCAGTCAACAACAAACAACAACAACAACAACATCATTGCAGATCTGCAGAGGCTGCAAAATGAACAGAATTGGCAATTATCAAGCACAGCAAGTGATGCTGACTAGCATCAATGTAAGATGAATGCGAGATGAATCTACAATTACACGATGCCCAACAGCTGGGCTTGCGCCTGGGCCTGAGCCTGAGCCTGGGCCTGGGTCTGCCCATTCGAGATGCCGGCAAGTCTGCGCCTGCGCCGTATGTGGCCACCGGCGGGTCGACAGCTTCCAGGTCTGCAACTGGGCTCGGCGCGGCTCGAATTGCGCACGAGTCAGCAAATAGCTTGGCAGCCGAAGTGGGCGGCGGAGGCAAAAAGGTTGTAGGCAGGCTATACTGTAGCTAAAGCTGTTGCTGTAGCCGTAGCTGTGGCTGTGGCTGTAGCTGATCTGGCAGATTGTTCCCAATGATCTCTGGCCACAAATTTGTCGAGTGTGCGCTTAAATGTTTAGCATGGCCCTGGGACCCTTGTTGCCGTCGTCGTCGTTTGTCGATGTTTGTTGTCATCAATTTTTGTTGTTTTTCTTTGCTGAAACTGGTTCTGGCTACATTTGCAATTGGCTTCTCGCGACAAGATTAAGATTAACACACGCACACACACACACACATACATCGCATCGCATCGCATCGCACTGCGCCGATAATGTCAGTTGCTCGAATTTCAAATTGCGCCTTGTTATCGCGCTGCCAGTGAATTAGCCATTAAAATGTCAGGACAGTTTAGCACTAACAAATTGAGCAACAACAACAATAACAACAACAGCAAAAGTCAGAGAAGTATGCGTGCGTGCTGCTGCTGTGTGTGTGCGTGTTTCAATTCCCAACGGTGTCTGGAATTGGGCCAGCCAGCGCAATGAGTGTCTCGCTTCCACCCTGGCGCACGGTGGCGTTAAAAACGACACTTGAAAGTCATTTACAGAATCAGCCACAAATAATAAAAGTCAAGCTGCTTAACTTTCGATCAAAAGTGCGAGCGAGCACGCTATACAACACTCAAGCGGCGCACACACTCATACACACACACACAGGCACAAGCGAAGACAGCAGGCGCAGCTCAAATAACTGAAATCAGATGCGACGGCGCTCTGTGGGGAAATGCACTGAGCAGCCAGAGTCAGTCCCTCTCACTGTTTGTTTATGTGCTTGTGGGTGTGAGCTTGTGTGTGTGTGTGTATGTGAGTGACACCTTTTGTACGTGTTGCACTGCTCTAGCTCACGGCCACGGCCCATGCTGGAATATGAAACTGAAACCATTTAGAGAAATGCTTGCGATGAGAGTAAAAATATTCAAGCAGACAATTTCCTTCCGGTTTTATTTTCAATTGCCCGCCCTGTCATTTGTCATTTGTTTATAAATACATACTTAACTGCTGTGTTGTTGTATATGTTATGCGTGTGCTGTTGTTGTCGTTAGTGCAGTGAATTAGTTGGAGCAATTGACACATTTTAAATTAAACGTTTGTTGACAGCTCAAAACATCTGTTTTGCAAGCGAAGTTCGACAGGGTTGCCAGGGCGGCAACATATACAAACATACATGCATATACATATGCAGTTATATACTATATGTGTATGTAAATTATGTCATTTACCTATTGTTTACTGTATTCTTCTATTTATAGCGGCTCTACGGACAAACAGCACTTGGACTCATCCAGCGATTCGGAAATGGAAGGCAACATGCTTTCCAGTCAAAGCGCACAACAACAACAGCAGCAGCAACAACATGCTAATGCACCGCACCTCGCTCATCACTCACAACAGCAGCAACAGCAACAGCAACAATCGCCCAGCAGCAGTAACAACAACAACAACAGCAGCAATGGCAACAGCAACAGTTTGCATCAGCATCAACAACAGCAGCAGCAGCAGCTGCATCAACATGTTGCCGCCGAGCAAAGCCTGCAACAGCACCATCAACATCAGCAGCATGTTGCCAATGCAGCGGCCGCCAGCAAAAGCAGCGCAGCTGCCGCCGCTGTTGCTGTCGCCGCCTCCCAAATGCCGCCCCTCTCTGCCGCCGTTGCCTACTCGCATCTGCACAGCGTCATGGGCGCCATGCCCATGTACGATATGGGCGAGTATCAGCACTTATGATTCTAGTTGGAGGCTGCTGCTGCGGCCAGTAGCAGCAGCGGCAACAACATCAACAACAACAGCAACAACTGCCACAGCAGCAGCAGCACTAGCACTAGCAACAGCAACAACAACAACAACAACAGCTGCGAATGGCCAGCTATGCTGCGTCAACGCCAGCCGCGCAGCCTGCAACTGCAGCAGCAGCAGCAGCAGCATCCGGAAAGCTTTTACTTCTAAAGCAGCAATAAGATAATAGAGAATCGCAAACTATCAACAGTTAGCAGCAGCAGCAACAAATTTTATTTAATCAACAAATAGAAGCACAGCATTTTTTCAATATCAGCAAAACAGTTAAACAACAGATACAGATACAGATACATATATTTACAGTTATGTAGTAGAAAAGGCTATAGACAGAGAATGGCAGCAAAATCTGTTGCCAATTCTTGATTAGAGAAAAAATAATGGATTACTTAAACTTCATTGATCTGTGTAAATAGCTAGGCTTTAGTTTTAGAGCGGAACGGGCGGGGAGCGGAACGAAGACTCAATGCGATACGGCATGGAATGGAATCTTGACCGTACTCTGTCCCCAAAAACGCAAATGCAAATCAAATCGAAATGTGCAAAAATTATATATATATAAATATATAAATATAAATATACATATATAAATTCTATTAAATTATTTTCATTGTATTTATAATTATTATTTTTAAATATATACATATGAAATATATAAATACGTAAATATATTAAAATTGAATGATATTTAAATAATTTTTAGTGGTTGAAATAACTGAAAGGTAAGAGAGTTGAGAGTTGAGAATGCTCTGGTGATTGGACAATTTAGTGGTAAAATATAGAAAAGAAAAAACTCAGCTAGTTACGAAATTCTCCCTAGCTTTGAGAAGTTGATTTATGTCTATTCAAAATTAAATACAAAATTCTGCGGAAAACTGATCTATTGAATAATAGAGAAAGTATTCCAGTTCTCAAAATCAGTTGCATTTAGCTCGACGTGACTGATCAAAAATACCTAAATATATTTATGTGTTCAAATATGTTTCGATTGATCAGTTTGATAAAACATTTGAGTGGTGAGAGTAGCAAGTGCACGACTAGGAGATGCTCTGTAATCTGCAGGACTGTCTAATATTTATTTGTAACTATATACAAAATGTGAGAGAGTGAGAGGGGCGTGCGAGAGAAAGTAAAGGAGCGAGGTAGAGTGGGTTAGCGATAATGAATGAGATAGAGAGAAAGAGACAGAGAAAAGGAAAAACCCTATACATGTACATATGTATATAGTCTCTGTCTTTCGCTCTCTCTCTTTTTCTCTCTATCTCTCAGTTGATTCGTTCCATATGATTTTATCTCTATATATACATACATTTACATATGTAAGTCTTCAGGACCGATTTTTATATTTTTGCCTCTCTATATCAATATTTAAGTCTATTTTAAATTGGCTTGTCTCTCTTTCTCTTTCCCTCTATCTCTATCTCTGTCTCTCCCTCGTTCTCTCTCAGCCTATATCTTCATTTATACACACAGATATATAAAGGTATATTAAGTCTCTCGAAATACTTTGCTCTCAGCCTTCGGCCTGCTGCATTATCCATCTCTTATCGATGCAGGATGTAAGCACAGGTCTGACCGCAACACGTCCAAGCCACACAACACTAATCCGCGGCGACAGGTAAGCCCGCTAATGCTAATAGCCCCGGATAATGGGCGTCTGTCTGCTGGGCGCGCGTGCGTCTCGCGTGCACGTCCCACACGCGCCTCAGCAAAAAAGTCGCGACACATGTAATGAGCATGTTAATGGCACCAGCAGAGCAGACGTTACTGCCGCATGCAGTAACGGCATGCTGCTGCTGACGCTGCCGTTGGTGACCCTTCATCATCATCAGCAGCAGCAGCAGCAACACCTGGCAACGGAGGGCGGCGCTTGGCAACTGGCTAAATGTGCAAATGTTGCCAAGGCTGGAATCACTCAGCATTGAGGGTGGCTGCCGCCTGACTGGCTGACTGACTTTTTCCAGCTCTCGCTGATTTGCCATTCGCCGCATACATACATACATATGTACAGAGTGCACAGACTCCGTTGCTAAAGCCCAGCCACCCCCATTAACTCCTCCGTTGCCATGGGCCTGCACACACGTGTCTGGCTGGCTGACGGCCTGGCTGACGGCGTCTCTGATTGAGTCTGCGTATCTAGTTACATAATATTTTGACTTCTTTTATCTTGCGGTCCATAATGCACATTATTTAATTAACGGCCATAAATTGTGCTTTCTTTGTGTGCTCAGCTCGGAATTGAAAGATTTTAAATTTAATGTGCCATCGGGATGCTCATTAACTGTCCATGAAAACTTTGATTTAAGCTCCTGATCAGACTGAGTAGAATTTTGTTTTCTTTTTTTTTTAATATTTTATAATTATTAAATTAAGAAAATTAGTATTCACTTTGACAATCATATTTAGCTGATTGAAAACTTTTTTATTTTATTTGAATATAAATAATATCATTATTTTATTATATTTAATTCAAAAATATAAAGTAAAGCCAAATTTATTTATATTAATTTATATTTATTTTTTTGAAGGAAAGCCCATATCAAAATATTTAAATAAACATATAAAAAAAAAAAATAATAATAATAATAATGGAAATTACATACAAAAAAATCATAATATGCAATACTCAATAATAATAATCACTCTTATAGTTAATAGTAATAAGAATAATAACTGTCATATATAATAATTAATATTAACAATAATAATAGCTACTGTTTATAAGCAATACCAATACCAATAAGAACTGTGTTCATTCATTGACTTTCATTTATGATTTTCGAATTTCCTTTCTACAAAATTATTGAAAACGCATTAAAAATCCTTTCATTGCCCTCGTTTATGCCAAAACACAAAACACAAATGCTCCGCTTACCTGCTATTCAAGCCAAACTATGCGCATCAGTGTTGCCAGCTTAGCCTATTTCAGGCTAGATCGAGCCTGTACGAAAGTGGTGAAAATATGTTTGGAATGGCGTAGCCAGAAATTGTACGCAGACTGTGCTAGTCCTTAAGAGTAGTCCTAGTCCTGAACAGACGAATATATACCATACAATAATTAAAAATATTAATGTACTAATGTCCATAAGCTATTTATCATATTAACATTTAGCCTTGAGCAGCATAGACACTATACTACATTATATATATATATATATGTTTATATGTCTTTATATGCCTATGTATATTTATTTGTATGTCTGTATGCATAACTGTCTCTGTCTGTCTTCCTCTCCATCTCAAACTCTCTCCTTTCCATCTGTCTCTCTGCCTAATAAAATCAAATGGCGAAGAAATGCGGCAATAGATCACTTAAATTGTCTGTATGTATGCAGCATTATGCATTTCGTATTTATAGCTGAGCAAAACGAAGCTAGAATGCTGAGAGCAGCAGAGAGTGTTCCCATTGGTCAACTAAAGCTCGATTGCAACGACCTCTACCTGGCGTCGGTCTCAACATTTGAGCGCCACTTATGTTGAGAGCGTAAGTGGCCCTATATAAAGGGCAGCAACTGCAGCATTTCTTCAGTCGGGTCAGTAGAGCAGTGGAGTAAAGTAAGGTGAGTCAAGCATTAAATACGGAGAGGAGAGACTTGGAAGTAATGCTGAGTGCAAATATTTGGAGGAAAGACTTTATTTCTTATTAAAGAAAATACTTGCAAGAAATTCGGAGAGAAAATACTTAGAGGAAATAATTAGAGAAAAAGCAGGATAAATACTTAGAGGACATATTTAGAGAAGAGGCAGAATAAATACTTAGAGGAAAAACTAAATATGTGAGTACAATTTTATGATTTTATGATTTTATTATCACAATAAACAAAAAAGCTCCCTGCAAATAATTTATTTAATATATATGCTAGTTGTCTATTTTCTTAAACTTTCCAGCTAACCCGCTATTTTAGCGGATTTCTCCTACATTTCAGCCAGTTTTAGCCTCTTGTTATCCACAATCAAAACCAACAGCTGGCAACACTGATGCGCATGTGTACAGTGGAAGTGGAACACTCTGTATGAAAACCTGAACGGCTGCTGAGCTGCTTCCACGAAAGTGACAATATAAGGGGATTACAATTAAACGCTCTTCAGAATAGAATCAAAATTAAAGGCAACGGGACTCAATGAGCATTTGTGAATTGCTCACAAAGCAGATTAGAGCAGTAATGAAAGTGTGTGGGTGTGACTATACATATGTATGTGAGTGTGTGCATGTGTGAACTCTTATTCTTCAGATCTCTTAATCTGTCATCGACTGTCAACATTCAACATGGCTTTGACAAGGGAAGAAGCAAAAGCTGATGTAAATGCCCGAATTTAAAATAGTAAAAATGTAGACTTTATTGTAAAGTATGTATAAATTAAGATTATAAATACAAAATTCGTGTCGGGATGTCCGACGATATCATTTGCGTCCTCGCCTGGCGGACTGCTTTTTGTTGGTGGGTTTTGCTGCTTCCTCCTCGGAGTCTTCACTGGAGTCGGAGGACGGCGCTGGCTTCTTGCCCCTTTGCTGTGGTTTTTTCTGTGACTGTAGGCGACGCGCTGCGGGCGCCTCATCGCTATCGGAGCTCTCCTCGGAGCTATCATCCTCGGAGCTGCTCTCTTGCTGCGCGTTTCGTCCACGTCTACTGCTGCCCGCTCCGCCCTTTCCTACGCCACGTCCGCGCTGCGGTTTGGTTGATGGCTTCTTCGATTTGTTGCCCTTGGCCTTCGTTTCATTGTGACCCTTGTCGGACTGAGGGGCATCCGTGCCCTGCTCGTTGACCTGCAGGCACTCGTTGAGCCGCGTCTCCAGCTCCGTGATGACCGCCTTCAGCTCCGGCTTGGCCAGCTTCGAGGTGTTGGTGATGATCAGCTTGAAGGACTGATAGACCTCGTCCACCTGCACCTTGTCCTTGAAGTGCTGCACGTTGTCAATCAGCTTCTTAATGGAGCGCTCATTGTAGGTGAGCAGGCTCAGGCAGTAGGCAATGTCGCGCCACTGGCGTTCGACGCGTGTGACAGGGAAACGCAGACACAGCTTCTCCACCAGCGTCTCGATGTGGCGATCCTTCTGAATGAGGCCCAGTATGTAGCGCATAACCGTGCGATATTTGTCCTCCTCCAGGTGCAGATTGACATCGCCCAGCTTGGAAATGATGTCGGGCAGCACGTTATACAATATGTTCGACTTGTTGGCAATCTCCTTGAAGAATTGCTGGGTGATATTTCTGATCTCGTCGCTCTCGTCGACAATGCACAGAGCCAAGTCCGCTATTTGTCCCTTGACCCGTATCATTTCATGCAGAATTAGATGCGACAGCATCTTCACCGCGGTCAGGCGCAGTTCCGTATTCTCCTCGTGCAGCTGGGCATAAAAGTGTCCCGTCCAGGGCTCAATAATGTT